TGCAAGTTTTATCTCCTTAACAAAAAAAATCATGTATATCTTATTCCTATAACTATACTATAAATTAAACCATCCACTGGAGTTGAAGGTCAGATTAAGATTCAAGAGTCTACGAAATGTACCAGGTGGAAATGAATGGTAGCTGATGAACTGCCACAGCAAAAATGGGTCACAATAAATACCATGTTCCTTTACCAAATCACCACATCCTGCAACCCATGACAGATAACATAAGTCATTGGTCTCCACTGTCAAACATTTCCAGTGATGCAAACACTGGGAAAGTCTAAATGTCATGACTGATTAAATAACCCTTAATTTGACATTGATGAGATATAAATACAGAAACAAGACTGATGAGAATGATTCATGTTCTGTAGTATCCTTTTTCATGCGTTGCATATCCAGCGGATTCAAGCTTGCATATGTCAAAATCAACGCGTTGCTTCACTGATAAATAGTATAACATACTGGCTTATTTAAGAAATATCCAACTAAAGAGCTGACTGAACTAAAGAGCTGAAAGCTATTCTGTAGGCCTGCGGCACTCGCTGTGGATGTGTTCATTGCAGGAGTTTCTCTGCATCATATTTGTGCTGCAAGTGCAGCAAATCAGACTCATTTCGAAACCACAGAGCTTTTCGCAGGATGTTAACAGAGATGCAGAAAAAGCAAAGGAGCGATTCATATTTAAATTGGGGAAGGTCAGTGTGGTCTGAGATTCACATTTAGATTAGGGTGTAGATCAGTGAAGTGATAAGCAGGAGCTCAAATTCACTTTCTTTTCTGACACGACAAAAAGTAAAAGCAAAACTAGTTTTAAGTTTAAGCTGTAATATCACCACCACTACCACCACCAGATGCTTACAGATGCTGTCAAGTGATATCTGAAAATGTTCTGCTGCCAGTATCACACAAGTCTAGTTTTTGTGAGCTAAAAGGGAAACGTTTTTACAGCCTTTCTCACATAATGTACTACTATTTCAATCAAAAAGGATTTCAGTAAACTGCATGTGAGCTACAAGAGGAAATCTCCGAAAAGGCTCTGTTAAAAGTCTTGCCTGCTAATTATCTATTATTGGCTCAAAGGAAGGATGGCAAAGAGTAAGGCCAGCAGAGCCCATGACCCTGCCTAAAGGTGGATCAGGATCCATCATGAGTCAACAGGCGTGTGAGCCACAAACAATAGCAGCGTTTAAAACTGCAAATGGCCCGACAACCTTCACGGAGCCAGCACTCTCTTACTTCACATAACCCAAATTTAACTGCTGCTGACCTTTTTACGGCTGATGAATTGTGGAGTTCCACAACAAACCTTGCTTGGCCAGGCAAGTCTCTATTGTCTGATACAAAGCAACAAAACACTGGCAGGAGACAATGGAGGGTCACTGTAGAGGGCTTGAAATAATCATAACAATGACAGCTCCCATATTTATAGTTGCAAAGAGACTCCCAACTGCAGCGTCTAAGTGCTTTGTTATTAACAGGAAGAGCTGCTCCCCGTGAAGAATAAACAGCACTTCTCTTTACTGAGTGAGTCATGGTAGCAGGTTTCACTGTTTCCTTCACTGTGGTTGATACCAGTAAGGCTATAAATGTCTACTAAAACCTCAATTACAGTCCAGACACTAAATGTAGCCTAATGAAAGCTTAAAGTGTAGCTTAAAGAAAGAAAGAGAAAGAAAGAAAAAGAAAAAAAGCTGAGGAAGTGTGAACACTAAGGTTTACCATAAGTGTAAGAAAATTGAAAATTGAAAGAGTTAGGTAGAAAATTCCTTTCTAAGCATCAGTAGCCAGACTGAGATCATTGGGTCATCTAGCATCTGCAGAGCTCTTCCTGAGTGAAACTGGGGGGACGCAGAAAGCAGGCCACAAAAACAGGCTCCGTGACAGGCAGGCAAAAGGGGAACAGAGATTATTGCAGATAACAGTGTCAATATTTCATCATGGGTGATGGTAAAAACTGAGGCCCGAGGTGTGCAGACAATCTCCCAAAAAGACTAAATGAAAGGTCTTTTGTGCATCATTTGATAAGAGGGGAAGTTACTTGATTGTCTGCTATCAGGTCACCAGGATGAGCAGGAAGAAAATCAATAAAGCACTTCAGATTAGACATCCAGACAATGCCACCTCACTGTGCATTTGAGTAGATACTGAAATATAGGATGTAGCACCTTTTTTTATGTGTTCCGTAGTTTACAGCTAAACAGGAAATTGTATATCATTGTGTGTAGGGCTACCTCAGTTCCACTGATTGCTGTACTCTGCTCACACGCGAGCGTTGTGGTTTTGCCTGTTCTTGTTACAAAAACAGCGAGGTGTATTTTCACTTCAGGAAATGAGGCCAAAACATAGCACACTTCTCTTCTGAAGTGGAGTTGTGTCATCAAACTGATTAAAAATGAAAGTTGCATTTCTACTGCGACCCCACAACCCCGCCGTCAACCCTCAGTGTGTTAGTGCGGAGCAGTTCATTCAAACAGAAATGTATTTTTGACCCATTTATAGCCATTGAGATACAACAGACACAACTTCACATCCTTCCTGCAAGAGGAAGCCCCTGTTCATCTGCTTGTTTGGCTCTATATTTTCTGAAGAGCAGCTTCATAAAATTGTTCCGTCAGGATTTTTTTTTTTTCAGCCAGTCTTGCATTCTTGACCCAACAGTCAAAGGGGGTGGACAAAATAACAGGAGCATCTGCACAATTTCATGCAAACCAACAGTCCTGCAATAAATCCTTTAGCTTATAACATTTTGTTTAATATTTGTTGAGACTTTATTAGAGAGGTTGTTGTTTTATTAAATTGCAATTTAGTGTGAAGTGTGAGATGCTGTTTTTTTTGGACAGAATTTGTATAGATTTATCAAAGGTTACCCTTTTATGATATACTCATGGCCATGTTTCTAAAAGCATAAAAGAATAAAGACAAACAAAGGCCCAGAAGAGAGGCAATGATTATATGGCTCGCTATGGCCTCATTTCCTGGCATGCTATATTAATGGGACTGAGAATAATAGAATCAGAATAATCTAATAATAAGAAAGAAGGGGAACGAAAAAAAAATTAAGAATTAATAAGGAAACTGGAAGAAAGTATACAAAAAGGCTAAATATAAACTGTATTGTAAGTTGTGTTATTTTTACAACCCCCTGTACATCAGCTGTACATGTTGCTGTCGCCTGCTTGCACAGGGGTATTCATTCTAGGACAAGTATTAGGACAGTCTTTTAAAGCTGACATTACATTTATACCGAGCTCTATGGAACAGTCATACCTGGAATTAGGGCTGGGTTTAAAGGTTTTGAGACTGGCGCCGATAGTTTGGGGAATATAAACACTTACTTGATAGTTTTTGATACATAAGGCTATGTCCAGATTTTAGCTGATACTCAAACAATGCTAAGATTGAATAAATGAAACCCCATACAAGAGCAGTTACAGCCCTTGACAACACAACCCTTACCATTCATGCATCACAGACTCAGTTAACATTCGATGCTGAGCTGTAAAGATGCTGTCTGGTTTGTCATGGACACTGATGGGAGACCCTCCTATCTGCAGGACACACAGCATGGTGGCATAGTAGCTCTGCTATATTACACCCCTTTTCCTGTATCTTTGCTAAACATAGACATCTTTGGAGGTATAAGAGGAAACATAGTAAGAATAAAAAAGCAGGGGGCTGGAGGTTGAGCCCTGGAGGGGGATTCAGTGTGACTTCAAGATAAGGGGCAAGCTGCAGTCCCGGGCTTCCTCAATAAAACACAGTACGGGCAGATATCTGGTCATATAGCAGAGTCCTCCTGTCAGCCAATGGGAGACTTCAGTCACTGGAAGAACTTTGGCAGCAGGATAATCCATCCCTGGTGTGACTGTTGGTGAATCAGCAAGGGTCTGTAGTATCTATATCCTGTTGAGCCCAAACAGTCATGGGCGAGGCTTGGCTATTGTCTGCTTTTATACTGTACTGTCGTGTTTCTAATTTGCCAAAGCAAAGAGACTACAAGACTGTACTTGTTCCCTTGCATCAAATGTCTTTATAAGTAGTTTACTAAGTACTAAGTAGCTTAGTTATATATAAGTTATAAGTTTTTAAGTCCCTTAAATTCACATATACAGAAGGCAGGGCGAGCATTCTCAGATCGATCTGCCTACATCCGATTAATATCAAAAGGATTTCAACAAAGCTTGGATTATATCTGAACCAGAATCTACAGATGGCCGACATTTTAAGGGAAATTCCTTCTCCCATAAGTGTTCAACTGATTTACATAATATCAAACCATATCAATGTCCCCTCGTGTTCTGTATGACAGTATCTGCATTTAACATATTTCACCAGTCATTCAGGTTTTTCCTTTGTCACCCATCTGTAGCTTTTCTCACTCCTACCCACAAAATGGTTCACACCAGTGATTTCAACTCCACCTAGTGGTACATAATCAACACTTAATGTCGGAAACGCCATCACCTCTCTGTGTCTGCACTGTTGTGGTCACAGCAAATTCAAAATAACACAACAGCCAAAGGGTCCAGATGTATGGTTTGTTAGTGTCTGGCCAAGATAATAAAATACAAAGAATTCCAATGAGTGAACATGTTTAGTCTACTTTTGATATTGCAGAGGAAACAGACATCAAAAGGTACAGGCGAGCTCAAAATGGTGTGACCCCATGGAGACCCAGCTGCTCTGAGTCTAATATTTCCCCAACAAGCCAAACAGAAGCTTCCAGACGGCTTCAATCTACTGGGAATGTTATCATTGGTAACCTGAACAGTACAGAGCAGATGTTCAAATCAAACGAGAGAGAGCACGCACACACTCACGCACGCACACACACGCGTGCGCACACACTCACGCACGCACACACACGTGCGCACACACACGTGCGCACACACACGCGTGCGCACACACATGTACACACACATATACAGACACATATAGACACACATATACACACACATCTCCATGTAAAAATGTTTTATGACAAGTTGAACAATATTCAATTCAATTTTAGTGTTTTGTTTCTGAGCTTAAAACATACATTATAAAAATCTTTGCATGAGCTTAACTGTTTTTGTAAACATGTACAGAACCTGCTATAAAAATTGTTCATATTATTCATAACACATGGTCTCATATCAAGTGAAATGATTTTGGCATATGCAAACAGGGTTTTTAGTGAATGTAAACATTAACAATGACTGCCTCTGTAGGCTCAGGAGGAAGGAGGCTTTAGTGTTCCGAAAACATTTTCTCAACTTCATCTATCCAGTCACATGGAGATTCTTCCTCAAAGTCTCTGTGAAGAGAGAACAAACGGTATAACACATGTAAACTTTGTTTTCATTTCAGAGGTCACATAAAATATACATTCGACAGACAACAGACAGCGCTCACTTTACACAGTAACAGTTAATGTGAATGAGGTCTATTTTGCCAGGTGCTTCGATTTCTGTTGTTCCATTATTTGCTGCCCACACTCTGCTTAGCAAGCTCAAAAATGTTTTTATCACATATTTTATTTTGAAAAAATCGAAAAGCAAAACTGACCTATAAGTATCATTATTGATCTTATACACATTTAGTCAAAACCAACACATTAGCCCTTAGCATTTTTACAATGCTGACGTTCTTTAAAATTCTATTAGCACAGCTGAATAAAACCAGAAACCTACAGGTATTTTCCTTTGTGTCCTGCTGATGTACTGTATGTCCAGTCCGACTGGATCAAGCATCCTCATCCTTAGTAATATCATGTTAAATTACAGATATAAATCGAGGTTACTTACGTGTCCTCGTCGTCAGAGCGTGGCTGCAGTCGGTCCTCATCTACAGCCACTTCAAGCTCAGGACCGTCTGTGTCGTCACCCTGGGAGAGGGGTCCCACCAGGGGGTCATCACCTGAAAACCGAGGCCACATATTCCCATCAACCACGAGAAAGGTTGCTTTATTAAAATAATATGTATTTAGATATCAACAGACCTCCTCTGTTTATTAAAAAGGTGCTGGAGGCTCTGCTAAGTCTGGCCTTCTCCAACAGACTCAGAAGTCTCTCGGGGGGATCCCTGTCCCATCGTTTCCTCTGCCTGCTGTCCTCTGGCTCCTCTGACACACCTGTAAAAGCAGGAGTACAGCTGATACACTCGGATACTGTATCTCCTTCTGCAAACTTAAATTTTGTACAAATGAGGAAGTGAAAACGCTGCTATTGGTATCACACATCTATGAGCAGAACCTGTGAGGGTGTGGTTGGTTGATGCCATGCTGTCAGACGAGATGAGGGTGGCATTTGCCAACATCTTCATAACGGTGTCTGATGGCTCAGCGGCCCAGTGCTTTCGAGAACCCGGCTCTCTGCTTTCACAGTGGGCTTCTGGTAACTCCACACCTGAGGTCAAATGTAATTTAGGATTATTTTTTTGTTATATTTCTTGTTTTCAAAAAGATCCTGGCAAGAAATGAAACTTCACACACACAAACCCCCGAATAGCAGGCAGAGAAAAAGCACAAAAAAATAATAATCAAAACAAGGTAAATGTAAAGGATTTTGGAAGCAATGTTCTGCCAGGGGAATGAAGAGTTGCTCACGATCATAAAAAATTGTTTCAGTTGCAAAAATAATGGATTATTCATTATTATGCTTGCTTTTAGTGCTACTTCCTACTTCCTTTACTTTTCTTTGTTTTGGGCTTGGCTGTGTTGAGTGGGTATAGCTGAGTCCTTTCAGAATTGTGCTTTACAGAGTTTGAAGGAATGGAAAAACATAATATAGCACACATAAGGCAGTGTTGATGTCTTTACTGACAACAACATTTATGTTCCTACCAGTTTTTCACAAAAAGTGATGTGTTTCTCCCAGAGTTGCAGTAGTATATCCTTTTTTATTACTACACTGTTAACTTGGACTTTACCTTCAAATGTTGATGTTTTTATTAAACTCTTCTCTCCCAGAAGATTAGCCACCTTCTTTCCCTCTCCTCTGTTCCATCGACCCGTACGCCTCCCCTGTTCCTCCGTCTCTATTGCCTGTAAAAGATTCAAAGCGGCGCAGTAAATCAAACGCATAACACGAGCTCCTCGGCCATCTGAACTAACAGCAGCTTGTCAAAGGTCAGATTCCGCATAGGGTCACCACAGCTGGGGAAGTTGTGTAAGAGTTTAAATTCTCACTTCGACACCATGTTGTGACAGTATGTCGTTATGATGGATGGGCAGCCATAAAATCACTTCAGGTTCCACTGCTTGAGTGACTGTCACCAAGCAGGAAGCTGCAGGTGCTGACTGTGCTTTTTACCTGGGAGGGCAGATGTGTGCGCAGGAGTCTGGAAACCCGGTGAGAGGTCAGGATGGTGTGCAGGGACGGCCTGTCTTTTGGGTTTGTCTTAAACATCTGCTTGACCAAGTACTGCAGCTCGTAGGGCAGGTGACCGGGGAGGGGAGGGTACGCACCCCGACACACCTTAAGAATCAGGCTCTTCCAGCTGGATGCCTGGAACTGCGCACAAGAATGAGGTGTGAGGATCGCCGGGACAAGAAACCACACGGCAACATCTGAGCCACAAAAAAATACACAGCGGATAATCTAACTCAGCTGAAGAAACTGGGCCTCCAGCGTTCCACAACAACGCTTTGCAGCATCTCACTGTGCAGTAAGATAACAGCAGGACTATCTGATACAATTATTCACTGACAATATTTGGAGAGAGGCCCACAGTCAAACTCCTGGTACATGGAGAGTGGCGGGAGGGGACATACCGGGTGTCGCAGGGTGCAGAGCTCGTAGAGAACGCAGCCCAGAGACCACACATCACTGCAGGACAAATACACAAAGGGACGGTTATTCATTCACACTAGACATTCGTCATGTACTGGCACAGTCACGAAAACACAGGACTGGTTAACCCATGCATGAGTTACATAATCGCTGCTGAGCTGAGAAACACAGCAGAGCAGAGAACACAGACTGTTTTGAAAACTCTTATTGACACATCCGAGACTGTCTTATGAAAAGCTCACAGGCTATGTTGATGGAAAATCAAGCCTGGAAGGGAAACTCCAAGCGAACATGGACAAGATTATGGGATTTGTTTGTAGTTAATTGAAGTCTATCTGTTGTCTGTTTGGTCAATTACAGTAAAGTCTTGGATATTAGAGTTTCCCTTTAAAGTACTAATTAGGGGATTACATTTACTGTATGCACACTGGTCTGGAGTAACATCCTGCTGTAATGCGAAATTTCTCTCATGAGCAAAAATATTTAATTTTTTTTGTACATATGATAAAGCCATCCAAGGGTTCATTTATGCACATAACATTATGTGCGAATGATGTAAACATTTCAAACATCTTGCACAGAAGGTATGCTGTTCATGCTCTGTATGTTGTACCAGCAGTTGTGATTTGATACTGTATCGATGTAATGTGATGTTTTTATTGGATCTGGTGAGACCAAAGGTAATTTTCCGGCCTTGGCTGGACAGTGAAGTTGTATTCTATTTGCTTCTTCTATTCTATAACTCATAAACATACGTATAGTGAATACAAATATACTGACAGGTATAGTCTTCCCCAATGCACCAACCCAGGCCTGAACACTGTCTGTATGTGTAAATGTATTCATATATTAGCTTCTTTATGTTCTCCTATGTTGTTCTTCTCTGTTTGGGGGAATACACTCTTTGCTATAGACAATTAATACTTCCTTTTTCAATAACCCAGTTTCCTCACATTGGTCTTCCATCATTACGGTTTCATTTTATTTTGGTTTCATTTGCAGCATGTGCAATGGAGGAACCAGTCGAAACAAACGTGGTAACATACCTTTTATTGTTGTATGGCTTGTTGTCCCAGATTTCTGGAGCCACATAATATGGTGTCCCAACGTATGTGTGAGCGTAGGCCTTTGAGCTGCAACAAAATTACAAAAATTAGTCAAAGTTCAAATGTAACAGCAGGAAATAAAGCACGGAACTTAAAAAAAGGCAAACTATAAAATTGCTTCCATTCTTTTCCTGTACCTATTCAGAATACACGCTGAGCCAAAGTCCCCGAGCTTGACTGTCCCATTATCTGTCAGGAAAATGTTCTGGGACAGGAAATGAAAGAGAAGTGATGACTTAACACGAAGCCAAAACAAGACCAGCCACCCATAGCAAAATGATGATATTATGCATTTAGGGGCGATAATGTTGCGATCTTATCTCGATCAGCAATTTCATCATTGTTCATTTCACAGTGCTCACACTGATGAGATTCTATCAACATGCATCCAACCAGTAAACTAAATGATCTACTTCTTGTTCTGATTCAGAGAACAAACAAAGAAAATCTGATCTCCCCCACGAGTTCATAATGTCTGCTCCACGTATGACAATAAATGTAATTGTTTTTATTGACATAAAATGAAAACCTATTAACCTGTAATGTAATTATTAACTATAATGTCTAGAGACTACTGTACCTTGGACTTCAAATCTCTGTGCAAAACCCGTTTATCATGGATATGGTGTGCGGCGGCACACATTTGAGCAAACCACCTCAGGATCTAGTAAAGAAACAAGACTCCAGTGAAACCAAATTGAAAAACGGTAACAAAACAGTAACAGCAACAGCAAAGTAAAGTGTGAGAACAGTTGAGGCCTACCTCATCAACACAGAACTGAGTAGTTTTCTGCTGCCGGATCCTCTGGAGCAGGTCTCCTCCACTGCAGTACTCCATAACAATACACAGGAGGTCATCAGCTGAACAAACAAACAATCACAATGCCTATTCTGCAATCCAAACAATAATAATTGTATGTCACAAGAGTCCAAAAGGTCTTAATATGTGTGTGAATACCTTCGAATGCCTCCCTGAAGGCCACAATATTAGGATGTTTCATTCTGGACAGCAGGGCGGCTTCTCTCCTCGAATTCTCCAATTTGGACTGATTCTATAAAAATGCAAATACAAGCATGAATGCATTCATTACTATGCAAAACAAACAGCCTCCTCGTGTCTGCGTAGGCAACAACCTGGTAGGTTATCAGCGCAGAGCAAATAACATTTCCATATCCAACCCCCAGGCTATAACATAACAGTCTGAGTTCAAATATAGTGTGCAGCAGTGTAGTTCACAGAGTGGTGCAAATCCAACATATCTTTAATTCACTATTTTATGATTGATTTTACTAGAAATACTTGCTGCACTGGGAGGATCCAGTTCAGGTTACCTGTTCCAGCACTCAGGTGAGCATAGAGACACAGTATGTAACAGTACATCACCATCTTTGTTCGCAGATACCTTTGGCAGCTGGATTTCCTTCACCACATACTCCCTGTGGCTGCTTTTACACCGGACTAACAGAGCCCGACCGAAAGAGCCTTCACCGATCACTTTCTGGAGCGAGTATCTCTCCATAGAGCTGCTTTAACTAACAAACAAACACACACAGACCACAAAGGATGGGAACCAATGTAGCTACAGCGGACTGGGCCGACGCATGCGCAGACTTTACAGCAATATTGTCTTCTTTGAGTCTTTTAAGTGCTCACATTGAGACATTTACGTGCAGTAAAAGTCTAAGGCACTAGATAAAAGTCTACCTGGACTCTGTCGCTGTTTTGTTTGGCCGCTACTTCCTTATTATTGTGTGACGTAGGTCGAGTCACAGGTACTGCGCAGCGTCACCGCTAGATGGCGGTAGATCATAATCTCTGAATCCTAGATTGAGCTTTTTAAATTTCCCATAACGACCGCCTTTTCAATCCATTGTGTAATATTAAAGTGTAGGTTTTGTTCATAATGTTTCTGCTTTTTTTCTTTCGTGCCTTCAGAGTCAAACTGTATCTGCCTGCCGGTTCATGGGAAGGTGACAAAGGTGTATTGATGGAAAAGTAATGGAGCAGTGACACCGGTGTGGAGAAGAAATGTTTCCTTTCATGCCTCTACACAAAGAAATATAAAAAGAAGTTTCTCAAATGATTGTTTAGGCCACGTGATTTGTCAGAGACCCCACGTGACTGCTTTACAAGAGCCCGGATAGCTCAGTCGGTAGAGCATCAGACTTTTAATCTGAGGGTCCAGGGTTCAAGTCCCTGTTCAGGCGA